AATAATAGTCTAATTTTTTATTTTTCAATCATCATATCTTTGTTGTTTTTTTTTTCTGTCAATCTTCTTAGTACTAATTCAGATTCATACTTCTTGGCCCCTTTCAATGAATCTGTGGTGTTCTGTCTGATTAGAAGAAATCAGTAGGAATACCTGTTATGAATTCTCCATGAAAATGTTAGAGCATGTAAGTGTTTTCCTTGGACTCAGAGGCTCACGATCTCTGTTTATTTTTGTATTTTATTCTTTTTGGGATGCGTGCACAGAATGTATCTATTGCTGAACCTACATTTTACAAATATGTTACATATCTTCTGAAAACTGCATTGAGAATCTATTACAATAGTAGACAATTTGAAAACTCTAGATTTGGCAGACTCACAGACTAACATATCTTTTCTGAAACCTGAAAGGTCAACGCATTTGACTTCTAAACATACTTTCAGCACAGATTTGATCACTAGTGTTATCTAGTGATGGTTTGCTTCTATGATTTTTCAAATAAAATTTCAGTCAACTGTTGTCATCAAAGGAAATACCATTTCAAGTGAGAATTCAAGTTTCTAAATAGAAGCATTTCTCAAATATGTAATCAAAAAGTTTCAGGTAAAAAATATAGATCTTTTAAATATATTTTAATACAATCAAAACCTGAAAAGTATGGAGTTGAAAGATATTTTCTGCACTGATAAAGTTCCCTGGGGAATGTTCGATGTTTAAAGCAATAGTTTGATTGAATGGAACAATAAATGCAGGGCTGAGTGTATTTTTTCTCTTTCTTTCTCATCTACTAGAAAAATATAGATAATAGAGCTCATTTATTTCCTTAACATTTCAGAGCTCCACAGATGGGAAAACACAGCCCAGTGGAAATGATTTCTGGCAACCTTGAGAAGATATGTTAGCATTTTGTGGCATTTCTCTCAGTGACATGTAAAGCATGGCTTTCCCTCATTGCAGTGTCACAGTGAAGTGTCACAATAAAGCCAAAATAGTGTGCCCTCAGGGAAAACTAGGAAAAGGGACCATTTTCCATGCACACACAAAGGGTAATATTTATTATAAAGCCTTTCATTTTAGCTCCAAATGCTGCCTGGGCCGTGGGTATTTTCCGGTGGAGAAATGCACAGAATGTGAGACTTAAAGCAAATGTTATGTGTAAATCTAATGCAATTTATGTAAATATAAATAATATGTTAAAAAGTAGAATGCATTTATGGACATACATGCATGCGTAAATCTCTGTAGCGTGCCAGGGAGAAAGCTTGTGAGGCTGCAAAGTGACAGCATTAGCTAGTGTTGATGGAATCCAGAGAGCCCTGAGCTGGGAGCCAGGACAGTTCCATCTTTACCTATTTCTGTCACTACTAGCACAGATGTTATCTCTTTTATCCACAAAACCTGTGGATATAGAAGTTATTATTCCCATTTGGTAGATGAAGAATTTGATGTTCCAGAAATGTAACTATCTATTGCAGATTACACAGCTAGTATTACCTAACTAATTTCACATACTCTTATTATCAAATACAATAGTTTATTATAAGCTAAACTTGTAGTTGTGATAAAAACCTTACATATCCTCTTTATTCTACACTCACACAGTTATTATTTGGACCCAAATATTGAACTTGATTTTTATGGCCATCAATTGCCATCTCATTAAGTTCATGCTCCTGTCCCAGGCTATGGACGTTTTGGGAGCATCTTAGTTATATTTTTCTAGGTGTTTGTCATTGCTGTAACTCAGCATCTTCTTCAGATTGAATGATTGTTGTGTATATCCTCACTCAAATCACTGGGCAAGTTCCTGTGTCCAGAACCTTTCCTCTAGTTTGAGAGATTGCTATTTCATCCAGCTTCTACTTTAAACAGCTGTCGGATGCACACAGAAATTACCCACATCTATGTCTTGGTGTGGTAAAAATGGAGGAGAGGGCGAGAGCTTTGGGGAGTTACAGACTTGAACTCAAATATTGGCCTCACTATTAGCAGTTAACGTGATTCTGAAAGTGTTGCTTGTTTGTATAAGTAAATTTGGAAGATGATATTAACAACACACAGTTTGTAAGGCTCTCAGTGGTAGTGTGGGTTCAGGCCCATTCATCGCCCCAGCTGTCAAAGAAAGAAATGACTTTTTTTGATGACTGATATTAGCCATCCCCACCACGCGAGGTCTCTGTGATCAATGCTTCCTGATGCCAACAGATAATCTCCTCTTTCTACTTCTCTCCTTCCTCTGTTCTATTATGGTAAGAACATGCAGCATGAGATCTCATTTTTAAGTGTACAGTACACTGTTGTTACTGTAGGTTCAGTGTTGAACAGCAGACTCTAGAGCTAATTCATCTTGCTTGACTGAAACTTCATGCCTGTTGATTAGTAACTCTCATTTCCCTCTCCCCAACCCCTGGCAACCACCATCCCACTCTGATTTTATACTTCTGACTATTGTAGATACTGATAGTGCACTCACTCTGTGTTTGTCTTTCATTTGTTTGGCTTATTTCACTGAGAATAACATCCTCAAACTTCATCTATATTGTTGCATATCACAATATTTTTATTTCATTGTATGTATGCACCACATATCAGTTTATCATTTATTCATGGATATTAAGGTGGTTTCCTTGGCTATTGGGAATAGTTGCAATGAACATAGAAATGTAATGAACATAGAAAGCTGGGTGAATGTTCCTCAAAAATACAACTACCATATGATCCAGCAGCCCCACTTCTGGGTATTCACGCAACAGAATTGAAATCAGGATCCCAAAACATTTTCACTTTAATACCCCTTGTTAGCCTTTTCCCCAATACCAACATTATGCTTAAATGACTGTGATTTTTAGAATCCACTTCTTTTCCCTGCTTTAATATCTGAACGACATAGGAGTCTCTCCCATTTGCTACTAATCTTGGCTCATGATAATGGCTTAGTGATCTTAGTTTTATATTTTGTAAGGATTTTTTTGGTGGAAATTCATTTGACTTAGGGTACTTGAGCTACTTTAGGGAACCTGTTTAACTCTCTTCAAGAGTTTCAAGAGGTTTGTAGAGTTTCTGTAGGAACTCTATGCCCCTTTGGTTTGTGTCTTCTGCCTCCTTGTTGAGCCCCTCAAAGCCAGTCTCCTTTGACAAAGAAGGCAAGCATAAGGGTGTTTCTGCTCCTCTGTACTGACTCTCACTACATCATAATCTACGGTGTAGATGTGCGTTTTCCTTGACAAACGAGCAGAGGCAGTCCATGCAGGTAGGTCCTCACCTTCTGCCCAGTTTTCTTTTTTCTTTTTTTTTTTTTTTTGGACGGAGTTTCGCTCTTGTTACCCAGCCTGGAGTGCAATGGCGCAATCTCGGCTCACCGCAACCTCCGCCTCCTGGGTTCAGGCAATTCTCCTGCCTCAGCCTCCTGAGTAGCTGGGATTACAGGCATGCACCACCATGCCCAGCTAATTTTTTGTATTTTTAGTAGAGACGGGGTTTCACCATGTTGACCAGGATGGTCTCGATCTCTTGACCTCGTGATCCACCCGCCTCGGCCTCCCAAAGTGCTGGGATTACAGGCTTGAGCCACCGCGCCCGGCCTCTGCCCAGTTTTCTTATCACGGCGGTGTGTGCTCTTACAGTCATCTGGTTATTTGCTCCATATTCTGTACATGGTCCCTTTAAATTTGGGCTCATCAGAGAAGTTTTGTGAAAGCACATTGCTTGATTTAGGAACTTCATTCTTCTTTTACTTATCAAGGTGATTTTTAATTTTATACTTTTAAATCTTCTTAAAGACATTTTCAGCTCTTGAATTATATCTTCTTCCAGAATCTTTTTTTTTTTCTTTCTTAGAAGAAATGATGCTTTTTCCCCCCTTGGACATTTTTGAATCTACTCTTCTAAAGCCAAGAGTTCCTATGTGACTATAACTGAGTCATTTTCACGAATAGGCCACCATCTTTTGCGTTGATGTTTGTAAAATAATGGTTTAAGGCCTTTCTTTATTTAGGTAATATTCCTGAGGATTTTAGTCATCTTTTAGAGATGGAGTAAGTCCTATGTTTTTACTCTGAATCTAGGATTCTCTCCCCTGGATCTTTTCATGTAAAGCTCCACATTTTTCTTCAAAATACATTTAATAAATATCTCTCATAGACTCGCAGTTGGCTAAACCCTCTGATTTTCATGGATCTTGCCAAGAGAATGTTTGTCTTAACTTCACACATAGCGTGATCTGCATTAATTCTGAGTGAGCTATATGTAGGAAATCTATTTTGAAAGGGCCACCCTCAGGAGCATTTCCAAATAAAACCATATGAGAACAGGAGTGAGGATAAACTGTTGTCCATTTTTGTGAAATCCAATCTTATTTCTCCTCCTTTTATTTGTTCTATGTGCCAAGTGAGTGAGAATCAGGAGGCAGAATGCCACGTAGCATCTTTTCACGTTTTGTGCGTTAGATGACTGGAGACGAGCAGACAGGAGGCTCATAGTTAGCCCCTCGCTCTGTGTGCCTTCCTTTCAAGTCAAAGCCCAAGATGTGTGCCATTTCAAGTTTGAGCCACAACTGTGGCAGAGATAAGCAGTTTCAGTAGCAAACAACTATTTGAGAAACTTTATGATTTATCCATACTGGACACTTTTTTTTTTTTTTTGTATCTGGTGGTATATTTTTCACATTAGCTGTTTCTTAGGATTAGCAAACCACTGCAAATCTTGTTTCATCCCTCCCTGGGTATTTAGTGTAGTGCCAAGCAAAGCACAGATTAACATATGCTTACTCAGGATTAAGGATGATTTAAAAAAAAAAAAATCTTCTGATAGGCAGTCAAATAGAATCCACACAGTTCAATGGATTCCACAGATGGGACGTTTTTGTTAGTGCCAGTGACTAACCCTAAACCTCTAGTCCCAAGTTTCCAAAGGCTTTAGGTTAGATGGCATGAAAGTCAAATGTCAAACAGCAGTAAATGCTCGTTTACCATATTCTTAATTTGCCTCAATCACTACAGTGTTGCCTATGATTGCTCCATGGCAAAGAAGAGGAGAGCTGAAGATCAGGCTTTGGGGGTCCCCGTCAACAAAAGGAAATCCCTGCTAATGAAGCCCCGACACTACAGCCCAAACGCAGACTGCCAAGAAGACCGTGGTGACAGGACGGAGGACGACGGCCCACTGGAAACACACGATCACTCTACCGCAGGTAGCATGAAGGACCGCCCAAACCCGACCTGCTCCCTGGCTCTAGGGACTCTGTCCTCATTCATGTAGAGCATGTGGCTTGTATGGTTGTAAGAGCATATTTAGATTTGGAAGCAAAATCAAACATTTATTTTACGTGACATTCATTTATTGAGGACTCATTTTAAATCAGTAACTGTGGAGGGTCCATAGAGAAGAAACAGAGGGTCCTTGCCCTATCCATTTTCAAAAGCAGTGGATTGAACTTCACCTATTTTTGAAGAAAATACAAGTTACTAAGTCTCAGAGTTGAAGAGCACTTTTTCTTCCTAACAGGAAGAATTTTTGAAAGAATTTTTTAAATTCAAGGGTATATTTAAGCTTTAAGACACCTTCGCAATGATCAAGTTATGTACAATGTTAATGAATGATTATAATATATATAATATATTACAGCTAAAACATTTGTTTTTTTTATTTTTTAATCAACATGTATGGTATTTACTCCAAAATAACATGAACCAATACAACTGGTCTGTGACCTTAATATTTTTAATATTTTTTGAATAAATGCTTATAGCAATTGACTACAGAATCAACCTAAAGTTGGCAGATTAGAGTCTTCTTCAGAAGGACACTGAAGGAAAATGATGTCTTATAGAAAAGATATCACTGTGCCCATTATTTCAAAAATAAATGATTTGTTTCCTTTTAGGTACACATTTTAGTTCATTGATTCGCTTCTTCACTTATTCATCAAACACCCTTTGTGTGCTAAGTATAATGTGTTTAATGTTTCAAAACTTCAGGATTTCTTTCCTCCCCACTGTTATTCACTTTAGTTCCTGGTAGTCACGTGCCTCTAGGAATTGGAATATCATTAATCACTTTCTGCAATGAGGCCGAAGCTGAGGGATGTGCAAAAAATCTCAAAAATTATAGAAAACAATTAAGATCTGAAACTTGACTTAGTAGAAAATGAAACTAGGTATATATTCTATTAAAGCTAATGTTTTTTTCTGAATGTGAATTTTAAAGGAATCAAAATACTTTGCTACTTAAGAAGAAGTGCTAATTATGCAAACAAAAGGCAATGAGATTCTTATGTAATAAATTTTTATGATATATAAAATTATGGTTAGCAATAAGAATTAATAGAAAAGATTTTAAAGCATAGTTATGAGTGAGCATAGATCTCAGGTCAGAATCATCCTGGATCCAGTAATATTGGCTTTGAAGTAGAGTTGACAATTCTGTGGTTGAAACAAAGTTGTATTCTGATTTGAAGGTGTTTAAGTAAATTATTTGACTTTGCTGCATTTATCAGGTGATTTAAAGCCTCATAGCTCATCTGCAAATTATAATTACACTTGACTTTTTTTGTTTCCTTGGACCGATCAGTTTTGTTTGTTTTTTGTTTGTGTGTTTGTTTTGTTTTGTTTTGGTTTTTGAGATGAAGCCTCACTCAGCCGCCCAGGCTGGAGTGCAATGGTGCGATCTCGGCTCACTGCAACCTTTGCCTCCTGGGTTCAGGAATTCTCCTGCCTCAGCCTCCTGAGTAGCTGGGATTACAGCCACGCCCAGCAAATTTTTGTATTTTTGGTAGAGACAGGGTTTCACTATGTTGGCTAGGCTGGTCTCGAACTCCTGACCTGAAGTGATCACCTGCCTCAGCCTCCCAAAGTGCTGGGATTACAAATGTGAGCCACTGCTCCTGGCTCAGTTTTACTTGTTGATTCATGAAAATTTGCAGGTTGAATCTAGTATTAGGGAAAGTCTTTGAATCATTTGTGGTTAGACTGCAGTATAATGCCTCTAGCTGACATTAATTAGTCAAGTATTTAAGAAAGTGTGTGTGCTTTTGCATCAGCATGTTCTTGGAAGTGCTGTGAAGACCGACTGCATCTGGTCGCTGACTTGCCACCTTCTATTGTAGTTTGTTGATAACTGTACGTGTTTAATATTAACCAAGTGAATATGTTGTCTAGATGTACTCCAGTTAAACATACAGTTACAAGCACTGATGGGCATCTATTTGCAGGTTCACAAAAATAGGTTAACTATTTTTATACTTCATATTAGAACCACTAATAATAATAATAATGAATATGCTAAAATTACAACAGGGGTGACCATTGGTTTTGAGTTCTTAATATATTCCAGACATATAAATGGTATCATTTAGTCCACATAATGCCACCAGTGTGTGTGATTATGGGCACAGTTGTACAGATGAAATCACTGGGGACTAAAGAGATTTGACGCTGAAGGTAATGCATCTTATAGGTGTTAGAAGGAAGATAATTGGGAAGCAATAGGAAGGACTGGCAAAATAATTATTTCCCAGCTAACTGTGCTGTGTAATTCAATTGTCCTCACGCAATGACTACCTTCAGACTCCAGACTGAACAAATTTCCTACAGTGTCAAATCATGAAGTCACAATTTCCGGTAATGGCAGGACCCATGCCTAGTCAAAAGAACAAAGATTCTAAGTTGCCTTCAGCCCTCTGAACAAGTTGCCCCCAACCCTCCTAGGAGGAAAGAGAGCTGAGTTAGTGCCTAAGCCAGCATAGGGCTTTTCATCCAGTCTCTCATTTACTCTGGGTACCCCAGGGTATTTACCTGGCCAGGTATGTGCCCAATGATATCATCTGCAACTGGGAATCTCAGATGGTGAGAGAAGGGCTGGTGCTTAGGAAGAGACTGAGGTCAGGAGCTTCAATGCTGCAAAGTTTTATTCTGTTTTATGGCACAAACTTCATCCATATCCTCAAACTGCTGTCTTTCAAAACAATCCAGGTCCCTGTTAAGGGGGATAGATGAAAACGTGGACAAGCCATGCAGTTACCTGTTCCTTCCTTGGGAGATGAGCTTGCACATACTACCAGAAAGGAGGAAGAGCAATAAGATGGGCTTTCCTGACACAGGCGGGGAGAATGAGAGTCGCTGGAAGGAAGATGAACCAAGCCCAGATATGGGGTCCCCAGCAGCATAACCACAAACTCCTGGGGAAACCCGTCACAGTCATAGAAGTTTTAAGGGCTGGAAGAACACTTTTAACCTATGTTATCTTTCAACAGATAGCAAATAAGGGGTAAACCGCTCTGCTTTCAGAACTTTGAAAGATGAATTCATTTTTCCAAGACTTTTATTCCCAGTAAAATGTACATATTCAAGAGGCCTGGAAAACCGATTTACCTATAAAAGGAACCTCGCTAGTTACAGAAACAGAACTGAAATCCAATTATAGTAAAATCCAGTTACCAAAGGAGACAAACTCAAAATATGTTGTGACTTTCAGAGGATGTTTTAAAGTTGTATCATCTCAGAACAGCCAGCATCTATTCCAGGATTCATTAGTATCTATCTGTAGGATTATCAGAAAACTCGGAGTGGAGGTCTTGGTTTAAAATAAATAAACAACCGTGAACTTGTACGTATCAGGCAGAAGCATTTACTTTTCGCTCTAGAAAAGCATCCCAGCTCCAGCCCCTGCTCCCTCCCCACACTGTAAATGTGCTCAGGATGGAGAAAGTCCTGGACCCGTGAACAGTCTGCTCTCTGGCTGTAACCCTTTGGTTATGCCCCGCCAAGAGCTGATCCTAGAAATTTTCTGACCTATTAGAGTTTTGCTGTTAAGAAAGTTGAGGTTGATTCACTTGTTAGTTTCTATTTTGTTGTGTTGTTTATTTTATTTATAATGTCAGCATCATCGTTCTTCTCATTGAAAGTTAGCTGACAATTGCATTTTAGTATCTTCATATAAATTAATACTCAAACTTGGGAAAACCATGAGCTACTCGTGTTCTTAGCCATTGCTCCTAAGGGCCTCTGTGTTTCCAAAACACCGACCAGGACATTCAGCCTCTGTGGCTGTGGGACCTGGAGCGATGTGCCCTGGCTGGCCACGTGGTCTCAAGCAAGCCCTTCCCTCCATAGAACTGCAGTTTCCCTTGTGTGCACTGGAGTCGAAAATGCCTTTCTTGTGCTTATTGTGACAATGAAATGAAATACACAGCTGAACACCAGGCCAGAAACAAACAATTTGTTGTCCTAAGAGGGATCCTTGGACTGATCCAATCCAGTCATCAGATCATTGGATCTTCTTTGTTTTGAAGATGAGGACCCAGTCTCAGGTAATCAAGGGTCTGTCCAAGGTCACGCAGCAGGCAGTCCAGGCCAGCCACACCACCTCAACCCCCTAGAGATTTCTCCTTCCACATCGTACATTGCACACTCACTCCCAGTCTCCAAAGGCAGCTGGTGAACATGGCATAGTGTGCTGGGAGTGGGGATGAACTCAGTTGAGTCTTCTCGATAGTGGGACCCTTGAGGGTCAATGTTAGTAATTATCCTGGGTAAAAAACAAGCCAATCTTATTTATGATAAGGGTTGCATACAACCCATGCCGTGACTAGCTTCTAAAACAATACCTGGGGCAGGGACAAGAAAGCCACCCTTGACTGGATACCTGTTGGCTATTCCTGTGCGGCCCCTGCAGGGTACACAGGGTGATAACTGTTCTCCTCAATGCGTCATTGGTGGCGCCAAGCTCAGGCGGGTGACGCAGCCCCAGTGAGCTCACAAGAAAGGGCGCCAGGATCACAACTCAAGCCTGGGTCCACCTGATGCTAACGACAGGGCTCTTTATGTTGGTTCAGTGGCAGAGGCACTAAATACATCACCATGCCCCCAAGGAAAATAGACACAGGCAGCCCGAGAAAATGCAGGCAGCCCATCACAAAGCTGGGGGAAACAAGCACCCCATCCCAGATCTCTCAGCTTCCAAAGCAGACTCAACTTTTTTTCTTACGGCTCCAGTGAAAGCCTGGGAGGGGGAGGATGTGGAAAGTTGGTTTACAGATTTGCAGAACATCCCTAGAAACCCGCACGTGCTGTGCACGTAGGCACCTCTGTCGGTGGGGCTCCTCTTTTTCTGAGGAATAATTAATAAATATTTTCTTTTAGCATATAACAAACAGTTGAACCAAACAATTATG